TAATGTTCTTGTGTTAAATTAAAATAGAGAGATGCTCAGTGTACAGAAAAAATATATACAGACAACCTAAAGATTACACACAATGGGTGGGCCCCTTCTTTTGGACAATATTTAATTCACATGGGGCCCACCCCATGTGAGTGTCTGTAATTTTTCTGTAAAAAAATTTTATTTACAAACATCATTTTCCATTAAAATATCTAGATCAATTTTTCATAAATTCAAATTCCAACAAGTTACAAAATTTACTTATAAGTTATAGGTAACTTTTAAGGGTTGATTTTGAATAAGATTAAGTTACATATTTTGACACTATTTGTTTTACTTTATTTTGACAAGAATATTTACATTAATAAGATATTCAGTTGCTTCAAGCTCAAGTTGGTGCATCAAAACCAATGAAATTAAATATAGATTTTATTTCTTGCTTAGAAGTAAAAGACATATAATTAAAAGAAAATTAATTAGCTTTAAAAAGGCATTTAATTTAACTAAAATAAAAGGGCAGTCACTAAAGGTCCTCAAACTCTGCTCTTATGGTACAGACTTTTTTCTGTCACATTTTTATAATTAACATTTATTAATTAGCACATCATATTCCTAATGAAAATTTCTGTCCAAGAGTTTGCTAAAAAATCATAACGGGGATTATTTATTCCTGACATTTTTAAATAAGAAAAAATAACAAATACAAAATTATGACAAAATATCTTGTCCTTAATTTTAAATAACAACAAACTATTTAGACAAAAACAATAATAATGTGCCACTTAACTACCGACAGAGAGATGCTGGAGAGATGCTCCACGTACATGAAAGATTTCAAATGAAAACTAACGGGGACACTCACACGTGTGTCCTGCACAATTTTTTTTTAATACATGGTGGAGCCCACCATATGAATCATGTACTTTTATGTGTTTGTCTCCCATTATTGGGAGAAAAACGGAGTAATGAATAGTATTTTTTTGAGAATGCGTGATTGAAATTTAAAGTAACTTTATTGGTTTGTATGTAAAATATTTTATTGAGTGAATGTGTAGTGAAGAATCTTAATGTAGCAAACAAATTTTTGGAATAATGGTAAACAAATGGGGGATTAATTGCAACAAAAATGTAGGTACATAATAGTACAAGACAATGACATGCCTGAACAATAAAATATGTTCACAAGGCAATTTATTGCTTTTTTTTTTTTATTTTTTGAGAACCTAATTTTGAATTTGAAAAGACTTTTTAAGTATTCAAAAGTCTAAATTAAGGGCATGTTTGTTTTTTATTCTTAAATTTTACAGTAAATTAATTATCATTTTTAACCACATATTTTTCAATAAAATAATATTTTCCACCACATCAATAATTTTTTCTTCTTTTTCAATCACACATTTCCCATCATATCACTATTCAAAAATCAATT